GCAAGATTAATCAACGGGCTGACGGTGAAAAAAAAAGTCAGGAAAAAAAAAAGAGGACGGACAGTGTGTGTGTGCGCGCACGCATTTGATGGTGCGGAACGAGCCCTTCGGATCAAAGTCAGCAAAGGCCCGATTATCGCAGGTCTCCAAAGGTGATCCTCAGCGGTGAGGCTGACGCGTAGCGAGCGGGAGCGTGCGTCCGCTTTCAAAGCGCCAATTATTGCCACTGTGAGGTGGATCGTTCACGCCTTTGTCACCTCTCGGCTGGACGACTTGAAGGCACTTGACGCTGGAGTCAGCCGATCCTCCGTCAAGCGTCTCCAGTGGCCTCTCGACCGCCCCCCTTTCACCGGCTCATTTGAGAGTTCTTTTGAAGATCCTCAGATTGGTTTTCCAATCTTGAAATGGCCTCGCCCCACAAGACCTCTCGGATTGTGCGTCGCAATTCATCTGCCGTTTGTTTGTTGCTGCGTGAATTCTATTTTTGCTCCACGTGCGGCACTTTGTCAACAGCGGCGGCTGTTTTCAAGGCTCTGGAAATACACGGGGGTTGAGGGACATTTGAAAATCATCTGGTCTTTGAAAACGTGAGGTCAAGTCAAGAAACAAACGGGAGTGTCGGGGCCAAAGAATGATTGTCCTATCTTCGTGCAGTCAAATGTCAAAAAGGCTCAAATTTGACCCCGAGAGTAAGTCAGTGGGGGCGAAGAGCCTCCGCTAGCGCGTAAAATGCCGGTGGCCAAAAACCGCAAGGCTTTAGAACAGAGGCAGCAAGCGGGGGGGGACAATAGGGGGGTAAATACGGGGGAGGCAAGGGGCCGCATGCCCCGAGTCTTAATATTTGAAGCGAGAGGCAAGCTAATTGGCCCGCAGAGTCTTTCCTGGACGGGATGTCCGTCAGCTGTGCTTTCGCTCGATGGAGGACTCTGGCTCGGGCCTGTAAACAGATGAAGCGTGACAGCTTTTTTGGGGCGCGTCCACAGTGCTTTCCGTGGGGGGGGTTGCTTTGTTTGGAGAGGGCTTACAAAGGAGCGACGCAGGAATGAAAACAAAAAGGAGAGTTCTCAGGATCCACACCCTGGCCCTGACTCGGCAATCATGAGCCGGCCCGAGTGGCCGCGCGGGGCCCCGGCGCAGGAAGCGCAGATGTGGACGCACTCGCGTCGACCAAACGGAATCCATCTCTGGCATGTTATACGACCCCAATCAGGAAGAAAAAAAAAAAAAAAAGCCCATCTGGATGGTCCAGGAGCGGTCCGGTCTGCGGCCTTCGCCGACACACATCAGGCGCACGCGATGGCTCGGCGGCGTTCCATTGGAACATTTCACGGCTTATTGAGCTCACAGAACTCTCCGACCCGCAAATCTGTCAATGCAAGTCGTTATGTCTCCGAGAAAGCTGACCAAGGGCGAAAGGACTTCTTCAACATTTTGCTATTGCACTTTGGACCCGATTGACTAAAAGTCGCCGTGTGCATAAAAACCAAACTTGTGTTTTTATGCAAACGGACGACGTACGAGGCAAAACGGCCGCGCCCAAGACGAACCGCGCTGAGCCGATTGAGTCGTTAAATAGCGCGCCTGAAAGGCAGGTGCAAAGCGGCACCCTTGCGCGAAACCATGACGGCGAGGAGGATGCGAAGGCGGAATGAATCCGTTGTCTTGCGTCAACGTTTCTGGAAAGCCAGAAATTGGCGTTGACAAGGAGTCGTCGCGGCACATCCCGTACGACACGACTCCCCGAAAAGCAACATTTGCTTGCGTCCGGGTCATTTTATTGAGCATTGGGGCCGATGCTTCCCAGAGCACTTTTCTAGGAGAGCGCTCCCAAATTGAACAGAATGTTGCGCAGGATGGGACATCAAAGTCCCGCACGTTGGAGATGTGCTAAATGATCCTAAAAATGGCTTTTAGGCAGTTGTCGACTTGCCCATAATTATAGGAGGGATATTTCAGTCCGCTCGCTCACGTCGGTTCTCCTCTTCCACCCGCACTTCCAATTCCATCACTTCAAACTTCACTTGATGCGGACAGCGATAAGCCGCTCCCGGTCTCCCTCGCTACCACTTTTACCCCCGTTTGCAAGCGCGCGCGCGCAAACTCCCGATTTAGCACTCGCCGGTTGGGATCCGCGTCATCGGGCCCGGCCGTTATGCGCACGGCTGGCCTGAGGGGGCAGGTGAACCGACACCAACGGTCAAGTCGTTTGCATCGTGCGAGTGCTCCGACGTGCGCTCAACGTCTGCATACGTGCAATCGCTTCAACGGGATCATTCCTTATTTGTGCGAAGCGCCACAGAAAGAAACGCAATGACGAGAACTCATTGACAGTCCATTAAGTCGCCGGCACATTCGGCCCGATGCGGGCATACGCGTCACGTGCACGCGCGCGAGTCGCGCCCCAGCAGGCTATCTATCTGGCTGCGAAGCGGGACATTACCTTGGACCCAGAGGGACAAGTCGTAGCTGCGGACGCCCATATCGTTGGTGGCTTCGCAGCGGTACACGCCCGAGTCGTTGAGCGTCAGCGGTCGTGTGAAGGCAAACCTGTTGGAGACGGCGGAAACACCGTCCGGCATGTGTCAGAGACATGTCAAGAGACATTTTTGTCATGTTTGCAAACAACAGGCGGCGGGGCTCTTCCACGTGGCGCAACTGGAAAGGAGGGCAAAAACGTCGCTTGTTTTGGAATCATTCCGCCGCAAAACGGAATGCCGAGTCGTCATGTCGGCTGCCCCCCCCCCCCAAGACACGCACACCCCCAGCCCCCGTTTGTGCACTCTAACTGCTTTGCTCAAATGACACGGAAGAATTTGCTGAGGAGCCTCTGGAGCTGCGGCCGCCCGGAAGAACGCGTGACGTCAGATGCAAGAGATCGGGAAACACTATTTGGGCCGAGGCGAGATGATATACAGCCGTTTTTATGACGCCCCCCCCCACACCCCGCCGGCTCTCTAAAAATAAGTCTGGAAAAACGCTTCGAAGAGCAGCGCTTTTTGTCTAGAGAGTCTTGGGGGCATAAGGTTTCACCGGGCCAGACTTTGCCGCTCCCGCCGGAGCCTCGTTTTCACATCAGAGGACGGCGGAGTGCCACGAGGTCGGACTTAAGTCGCACGCAGGAGCCTTCTGGAGACTCATTCATGACACGGATTCTTCACGAGGGCCGCGACGGGTGGGTGCAGTGTCAAAGCAGAATAACTACGGCCAGAGAATACGGATTCTGGGTTCGCTATGCACCAAAGTCATCGATGCGTGGGGTTTTGTTTTTTCTCTTTGCTGAAATACTCGCCTATTTTTTCTGAAATGCAGTAAGATGCTGCCAAAGCCCTGTCGAAATAACAAAGTAGTCATTTATGTCCAGGGATTATGCGTGAGGCGGCACAGTGGCCGTCTGGTTCGCGCGTTGACCTCACAGTGCAGAGGTCCGGCCTGTCCTGTGTGGAGTTTGCACGACTTCCACGTCCAGTTTCCTCCCACGTTCCAAAAACACTCGCGGCGGGTTGATGGAACACTCCAAATGGTCCCGAGGTGCGATTGTGAGCGCAAATGTTTGATCGTCTGTGTGTGCCCTGCGATGGGCTGGCGACCAGTTCGGGGTGTCACCCGCCGACTGCGGGGAGGAGCAAAGTGAAATTCAGGAAAGTCTGCGCCGCAAGTACGTGTGCGATCGCGGTAAGTTTTGTTGTCTGCATCAAATCCTCGGCAAGCTGCTCCTGCGAAATCCCAACAGGCGGAAGGCGGCCACACACGTACAAGAGCCCGGCCATAAAGCTGTCAGAAGGTTTGCCAATAACAGGCAGCCCGCGGGGTCAAATGACACGGAACACGGCGAGCTTTGTTTACCGGCGGTGCCTTAACGCCACCGAGAACGGATGAGGTCGTGAAAAGGTCAACCCACCTGGCCCACGTATACTCCCGGACGGGCGGGTTGGCCTGGGCGTCACAGATCAACGTCACGTCGGCTTGTCCCGCGTACCAGTTTTTCTTCTCCCCTTTGATGAGGACCGTCGGTGCAACTGTTTGCAAAACAAAAGCGCAACAAAAGTTAGCGGCAACAATCGCTCGCTGATGCTGACCGAAGCACGTCTGGTGCGATGTAGAGCAGGGGCGTCCAAACTTTTTGGTGTGAGGGCCGCACGCAGAAAAATGGAAATTAACATTCGTCAACTTTTAGAAACACTCCAGTGTCTTTCCCGAGCACTTTCAAACCACCACCGCTGTCTACAAAATGCCGTACATGGAGCAAAAACAATTCAGACAACCACAAACAAGAAAACAAGAAATGAATAAGACAGTAGAAAGCACCAAAACCGACCAACTCCAAATCAAGTCGAAGAGAGGGCGCGGCAACGCAAAAGGCTGCGTCCCCTCGGAGCCTCCGTTTGGTTGTCGGTACCTCCAATAGTGTCTGATCCGGAGACCTGAGGCACCTGGCAGGGAGCTCAGAGAGGTCAGGTGGGGCCGGGCCATTTCAAGATTGGAAAACAAATAAGAAAATCTTCAAAAGAACTCTAACATAAGCCAGTGAAGGGTTGCCAGAGTAGGAGTGATGCGCTCCCTTTTACGAGTAGCAGTCAAAAGGCCAGCAGCGGCATTCTGGAGCGACTGGCGACGCTTCATGGAGGATCGGTTGACTCCAAAGTCAAGTGCGTGACAGTCATCCAGCCAAGACGTGACCGAGGGCATGAATGACTGCATCTCAAAGTGACAAAAGTGCTCGAGCCACGGGGCTCAAGTCCGCAGGATGGGATGGACAAGCACCTGAGGATCATTCGTGTGACGTCTTCATCAATCAGCCAGAAAACACCAAGTGGAAGAAACCATTTTTTGCCCCAAAAACGGAATCTTCTTTGACTCAACTCTGTGTTTTGAAGAGACATTATTCTCTTAATCACAAATATTTATTTATTAACATTGAGAAAGGTTCTCCGGGATATTAACAAATTCCTTTGTAACGGCACCTATTTTTCTGGCAACCTCCCTTATTTTTTTTTAAACTAACCTTGCGGGCTCAGGTCAAATGACATTTTTATTTTATTTTTTTTGCTGTCATGTTGCGGGCCGCTGAAAATGGATGGTGGGCCGCAAATGGCCCCCGGGCCATAGTTTGGACCAGTGATATAGAGGGTTTCTAGAAGGTGAAGCACGCTTTACGTTACAAGAAACACATGAGCGGAAAACAAAGGTTTGGAAGATGTGCCAAAAACAAGACAAAGCAAAGGAGAAGACTTTCAAGCAGGAGGAGGAAAAGTGGCTCATATCTAATAAACTCCGGCAAATCAAAAAGAAAACGGGGCGAGGGACCGCGACGCTTCCGGGATGAAGCCGGCACGTGCGGCTGTAATAAAAGATGGCAAACACGCCTTATATTTTGCCCCCTTTGATTTCTCCGGAGAACAAGCGAGCGAGCCACCACCGACCCAACAAGAGGACGGTTCGGCTCGTCTGGCCGGCTCACCCGCCGCGGAAATTGTGCTTCTTTTGCACTTAAAAAAAAGAGAACGCCCCGTTTGTGCCTCCAAGATGATTTATTGAGCCGCAAAGCCTGGTTGTGACTCGATTAACCTCGCTCCCCTGTCACCCCCCCCCGCCTCGCTCACCGCACTCGCGCTCCCGCTTCTGGCATCACCTCCGTCTATCGTGCCTTCAGGAGCCAACCGTCACACAAAACTGCGTCACCTAAATCATCCTCTATTTTATCGATACCGTTTGTCACCGTCGTGAGACTCGCATAGACTCTGTGCAGCCCGGTGGTCAACCTGAAGAATGCATTCGTTTCTCTCGAGAAGCCTGCGCTCCCACTTTAAGCTCCCGTTGGGTCTTCAAAGAGAGGAGGAATGCACTTTGGGCGCTACTCACAGTGAACGTTGAGCGTGTGGTCTTTGCGGAAGTCGGTCTCCAGCGTGGGGTGGCGCACCACGCAGGTCAGGTTCTTGCCCTGGGCGTCGCCGCGAGGCTTCCACAGGTAGCGCACGCTGACGCTGGCCGTGCCGTCCGCCTCCTCGCGCCTCTGCGTCTCCACGCGGCCGCTCAGCTCCGTCTCCCAGGAGACGGTGGCGGCGGGGAGGCCGCGCTCGGCGATGCAGGTGGCCACCAGAGACTCGCCCTCGCCCTCCAGCAGGGCGGCGGGCCCCGCCGACACGTACACCTTGGGCTCCACTGGACGGACGGGGCAGACCATTGCACCATTAGGACACGAATAAATTGGGGGCATCACAAGAGCCGATGGAGTGAGTGGCCCGTGCCGGACGTGGCCTTTCCTCCCGTTTACATCTTGAACATTAAACTTGTCAAAAAGGATTGGAACTTCTCCTGGGTATTACCATCATAAAAGTGATATAGGCATCCCCCCTCCACCCCAAAAAAAACTAACAAAAGAGGCCAATTATTGTTAGTTTGAATTGTCGTTTTTAAAAATGACAACATAAGAGAAGGATAACAACATCCAAACTCAGACCTGAGAGGCAGAGCAGCTTCGCGTTCGCTACCACGAGACAATTGTAGACGGGAGAGAAAATGGGACAAAAGAGAACAGAAGGAAGTTAGTGGAAATGAAAAAGGTTCACCTTCCGTGCGTTGTTACGCTGCGTCAACGTGTCGGGAGCGCGCTACACTCTGATACGGTGCAATGAGTTCAAAGAACGCGGCTGATCGAAGTGCACTCTCCAATCACCGTTGGGAAACAAATTCGCATTCGCCATGCAGTGTTTTGCGGCGAGGGTACAACGGGTAAGCCGGCCCGTTTCATTTGGTCATTCTGTGGCTCGTGCCAGTGGCAAAGGCCAATCTTTAAAGGATTGAAGAAGGCCTTTTCGTGCAAAACGGAGATCATATTCCATCAAGTGACGGCTCCATTTTGAACACCCAAGAATCCTCATCATCTAAGACATGAGACACTCGGGCCTTGGATGTCTTGTGTCGGGAAGGGGTCAAGAATCAAGACCAAAACGGCCCCCCGTTGTCATCGTGCGTGCACGCGTGCCTCTTCAAGTGGCTGGCCAAGCAGCTGTGCCACTCACTGAGGCGATGACAGTTTGGAAGACAAAGTAGAAGGGGGATTGGGGGGGGGGGCGGGGGGCGGCACAACCACCTCATCCCCGAGAAAAGGCCATCACCTTTGGGACATCTGCTCCCCTCGTCCCCAGTCGCTAGTCATTTCAAAAATATCTCCCGGCACCCCATTCTCTAAAAATAGCCGTCGGTGTCTTGCACCGGGCCGGGGGAGGGAGGCCACATTTGTGCCGCAGTCGTCAGGCTCTGTGTGTGTGTGTGTGTGTGTGTGTGTGTGTGTGTGTGTGTGTGTGTGTGTGTGTGTGTGTGTGTGCGCGCGCGCGCGCGCCCCTCCCCTCCTTGCTAGCGGGCTCGAGCTAAAAACAGGAGCTGCTCTTTGCTGGTCGACAGACACGTTCAGCTGGAGGAAGCGGCTAACACGAGACCGGTGCAAAGGCGAAGCCAAACATTCAAAGCTCTCACACAGCAGTGGTAGCAAGTCAGCAACTACGCAAAAAGAAAAACAACAACAAAAACAACAAAAAAAAAAAACCTCACCATTCTTGCATTGCCAATTAGTTCACAAATCCGCCAAAATAAATACAAATGAATGGTGCGGAACGTAGAGAAGTAGCGAGCGGTCCGCCGTTGGCTTTGGTCTGTAATATGTGGCAAAGTAGGCAAAGCGCCGATCGTTGTTTTCCAAACACGATGATTGATCATCGATGAGCTGTCAATCATTGCATTGCTCACAATTTCCGGCATCTGGACTTGACTGAGATGATTGTACTTTGTAATTCCTTACAGAAGAAAATCGATCTGTGCTTTCTAGTCTTTGTGGTCGTTCTTTATTTTTGGATTATTCCAACGAAACGGACCAAAAAGAACCAACTTGCCAAGCATCCCCCCCGCCCCCAAGTACCGTTCAATAAGTGATGGGATGGTATTGTTGAACCCTTTCTCAACCGTGACGCGAGGGAGTGATGGGCTGCCTCTGTACTTTTTACTCAAGTGAATCGCGTAAATACCTTCACAACCATTTCGGGTTTTGTAGCGAACAAACATCAGACTCTCAAACGTTGTCGTCACGAATTCGGAGTCTCGTCTTCTGAATTCATTGAGCCGGATGGCTCCTTGGCCTAGAGGCGCGCACGCGCAACACATGACGTCCTTTCCCCATCCGAGCCGGTGCGCAGTTGAGCATTGACGCGCCAACTGCCTGAGCTCCGGCTTTTTCCGTGAGTCAGCAAATCTCGACGCGCAGCCGAGTTCCAGCTTTTCTGACTCGGCAAAAAAGAACTAAATAAATAAAAGCCGCATTGTTGGCCAAACGAGTGAGCAGACAAATTTAAAAGGGATGCCGAGACCGGCCGGGTAGGCGGTCGTCTGCGTCTCATCAGCGGACGAGAAACTCCCGCGGTTGCTCGACTTGTCACAGCGGCGTGCTGTAGAAGCGCGGCGTCCGGTTTGATGCAGCTGGCCTTCGGCGCGTCGCCGTGCTTCCGGCAAAAGGTCATTCTCATCTTTTGCCATCGTATCTCTCGTCCTTTCGGCACACATTTTTGGCTTTGCCCTCTCGCCGCGATTCCGCGCTCCAGAGCTTGCGTCGTGTGTCTGATCCAAGCCATGTGTCGAGTTGTCGCCGTCATTGTCTGGGTGCTTGGACGGGCCGGGCCCTTTGTACTGGATGCTCGGGTTCCGTGCCAACTGGGGCACTGGTGTCAGTGCCGGAGTTTGGTTTGGACACCACCAAAGCCAGGGCACTGGGGAAATTCGATACGCCCTTGCCAACGTCTGTTCACAATTCAAACGTTTTGAGGGTTTTCTTGCCGAGGCCAAAGGACGACAGACACGCGCGCGGCACGGATGAATGACATGCGTGTTTGTTTCAAGGTGAAAATGAGTCGGCCTACGCGTGTGTTGCCTTACAAGCGTGCTCACAAAACAAATGAAACTGTACCCCGAAATTGCGAATTGCGTCAGAGAAACGGATCGTTTCTATCTCTTCTCCAGACTCGTGACGTTTTCTTTCCGGCGGTGATGTCATGGAAGTTGCAACCATTGGTCCAATAGAACGATAGCCTCAACTTTTTTTTTTTTAACTCTCTTTTGATGGCGGCGCGGACACCCGCAGCGGCTCCTCTCGTTTTATGTTGTCTTGAGAGGGAAGAAATTTCATCCGCACGGACGGACACAGGCGAGCCACGATGAGCAACGGCCTTAATGGCCCCTACTTAACATGAAGCTAACGGAAAAATCGAGTCGATCCAATCATCGGTATCCTTACCCAATACATTGACGTCCGTCGACGCTTGGTCATTCCCCAGCGGGAAAGTGGACACCTTGCAGGTGTACGAGCCCTTGTCTGCAAGGTCCACACCCTTCATGGAGATGCTGACATCTCGATCCGTGGTGGAAACGAAGGAGACGCGATGGGCGAACTCGGGGGAGATGTGCGTGCCGTGGCGCACGTGGTAGACGGCCAGCACCTCCCGGCCGGAGGGGAGTTGGCGCTCCCACGAGGTCTGGATGAGCGTGAGGTTGGGCATCATCTGGATATGGCAGCCCAGCGTGATCGTCTTGCCCAGCACCGCGTCCACTTTCGCGGGGGCCGCCACCAGGTTGCCGCTCACGCCTGCGTGAAGAAATAAACTCTCAAAGGTTGGGCCACATTTTTCTCGATGCCGCCCTTACAAGAAAACACCCGAGACACATTTTTGCTTCATTTTTGCAACCGAGGAAGCCCGGCAGACACAATTCCTACCCCACACGTAGCCATCTCCATCTTTATTCCTTTCTTGCCCAACGTCACGGCCAGACAACTTCAAACGCACAATAAGAGTCACAAAAACGGTGCAAAATCAAAGTCAAATTGGTCCAAAGTAGAAAATTGAAACCCAGCAAACGAAAAAGCTAAAACAGGAATGAACCAAGATGAAATCCTGGCAACAAGTATATGGCTAACCTTTCTAGCTAGCCACTAACATAATTTTACATCATCACTCGTTTCATGTCGACCCTCACCCGCAAGGCAAACTCAAATGCACGGCAACGTTGACGAGAGGCACTTTAGTACCTTGTCTGAAAAAAATAGATGTAAAATAAAGTCTGTTAACAATCCGGAAATGCCGTCTCGGGTCTTGCTAACGCTTAAAAAGTAGAAATGTTGGGGAAGTCGTGAAAGTTCATGTGCCCTGGAGATTTGTCATGTTATCTGCGACGTTGCGCAGCCGCACATCGTGGATTCAAAATTTGAACTGCGGCGTAACCGGTGGCCGGCGATTGCTGGCTTGTGCGCCAGTTCAGTCCGCTTTTGCTCCATGTGCGGCGGCCCTTACCCTCAGCCAACTCTTTATGGCAACAAATCCAACCTTCCCCCTTTATACTCATCCCGCTTCGGAGTTTCTCTGTGTCAACATCGTAGTGGCATTCAGCTTGTACTTCCCAACTGTGATTTAGACTGACTCAAACACTACAAGCTCATTAAATCCAACTCAAGAATTTCAGCCGCTTGTCAAGTCAATCATTTAACGACACACTCGGTATTTTTTTCTCGGCTCTGTTTTGAGCTCTGTTGACATGTTTACGATGCAGAGTTCGTCATATTTGGGAGCCATCAATCTGCCGTGCGCGCGTCTCGGAAATGCGCGCCGAGCGAAACGTAGAAAAGTGGCCCACCGGCTGGTATTTCGGGTCCTTGGCTCTGACGCGAGCGGTTAGCCGCAGCAATGCTATCGCGCGAGGCCAAGGCTCCCCTGTGCGCTGTCGCGTCCTCTGTAATTTCCCTCATTACAAAAACACGCACACACTACACAAGCTTTCCCTTGTCCAAAATAAGGCCCAAGTGTGTGAGAGGCAGACATTTTCTTTGACTGCAATTTGGTGTGTGTTCCGATATCAACTTGCCAGCTGTGCTCTAATACGCTTTCCTCATTTGTTTTTTCCACCCAACCCCCCTCACACAACCCCGACACTCACTCCATGTAAAAGGGGGATTTTTGACCTAATAACTCCAAAGCCTAAAAAACAAAAGTCTGTTGACAAGTGACAAGCATACAGCTAGCTTGCTAGCGGCCAGCATGAGAAGCTAACACAAGGAGCTACATCGTCATTTCTTGCCACATGACATGAACCAATATACTCAATGCACACAACAGTCACAGAGAAGCCAAATTAGTCATTAGACCACAAAAAGTTGGTGGGAAGGCGAAAGCTAGCATGACCAAACCAGTGCTAAATATAAAACAAACAACATACATCATCTTTTGTTCAAAAGGGACAAAGGGATGAGCTCAAACACTCAAAAACAAGACACAAAAGGCCAATCTACTGTAAAAGGAAACTATATTGGATTGCAAAAAAAAAAAAAAAAACACGTCAATGTTTTTGTTGACAAATGGCAGGCGAGTGACGCCGATCCACTTCTGTTTCTTTGTTTCCTGACAAACGTCCCCCCCCAAATCATTTCACTGCTGGTCTCCATATGTTTTGACTGACTGTGGATCGTTCCAAGAGATGACGCGACTGCGCGCATTTGGATCGTTCCAAGAGATGACGCGGTAAACTAACGGCGCTGATCGATGTCCGCAGACTTGGAGCCCAACTGCTACTGTACCACTCGGCGCGGGTGTCGGCTTTCAGGCACCGAGAAACGAGAGCCGGCGTGCGCGCCATGTGCTGTTTGCTTGAGCGTAAGCGTCGGTGGGGAGCGTGTACATAAACACAGGGCGGGGTGCGCGCGGCCGACTCCACCCTGACCATTCGGAAGGGAGGAGAGACAGATGGCCTCAACGTGGGATACCGACGTGGAGGAAGTGTGAGCTTTGGGGGAAAGTTGGCACGACCGGTACCGACGACCGCCGGAGAAGTATTGGCCAAAACACTGCTTGGGAAATTCTCCATGTGCGGTGTTTCAAACCCCCCCCCCCCCTTGACAAAATATGTACACAGAAAGTACAACCAAGTAAACACATTGGGGGGTTCATTCATTCACCCATGACTTCCAAAAAGTAAAATCTTGTAAAGGGGCTTCTCGCCAAACAGCTAGGGGAAGATGCAAATCCCCCCCCCAAACACACACACACACACACACACACACACACACACACACACACACACACACACACACAAAAAAACACAACAGAGGCTTATTTTGTAGTGTCAAAAGATGACATCAAGTTTGCTCAAAATCTGTTCCTCGGCTTCCCGCCGACTGCTACAATTTCGATGCTAAACAAAGTTAACAAGGTGGCTGGCTGCAGTCCGGGGAAACCGCGGAGGTTACAATTGGCTTCATTTTGCGGTCAGGCAGGCAATTACGGACTGGGGGCATCTTAGGGCTCGGCCCTAAACAAGTTGACATTTTCCAGGACGGCTCGGGGTCAAGCACAAGAGTGACAAGAGGCCGCCTGCCTTGCTCGTCTGCTCGAGTACAGTCAACGGCCGCATGTGGCTCAGTGCTCAAGCGTGACGACGTTTCTGTGCGTCCGCTCGACACAACCTCTCCCCCAAAGGTTAGTTTTGAAGGCCTTCTTTCAAATGATTGTTTGCGGGGTGGCCGGATCTGAGCCGCCTCGTTCGTCCCAAGAGCCTCGTACGCCGCGCCGGCGTAGCGGTCGACAAAACGCCCCCAAAGAGGAACGGGCTGCACTTTTGCCCGCTTTGTTGGCGCTCCGCGAGAAAGGATGAACTCATGGGAAGGCTGCGCTCGCTTTGAAGAAACGCTTCACTATTTGTTTCTTTCCCTCCTGACGTCACTAATTGTGACAAGCTGCCGCGGCAAAGGGTAAATCAAAACCTTCCTCCTGGCGGCCTGGAAAAGCGTCTCAAACATTCCACGTGGGCCGACGCCGCCGACAGACTCGCCGCCCACCCGCGGCCGGCGCGCGCCTCCCCGGAGGGGCGTGTCATCCGGACGGAGAGCCGCGCCGTCAGGTCGGCCAGCGTACGTAGGACAAAAGACAGCGCTGTCCCTGTTGCTGTAATGCAATCGCGCGGCTAGACGACGGTCATGAGGGATTGATTTAAAAAGCTCACCGATCAGGAATGTCGGATCTGGGCAGGAGGAAAAGTAGTTTTAGGACTCGCAGAAACATGAACACGGCCGAGCTACTGCTTCAAATAAGAATCATGATCGTGACAATAAAGCTGCTACTACTACTACTACTCCCACCAATGACGAGGTTGACATTTACTCTGCAAAGTCATCTGCTTTTCCGCCCAAAAATAAAAACGGTAAAAAAAAAGACAAAAAACAACCCCAAATCTTTTTTTTTTGTGGGTGTGGGAAAAAAAAAACAAATCCCAAATCCCATGCCGGGCTGGTAAATAAGCAAGAGTGTGAACGCTATACAGCATCCAAAGTCATCAGCAACCCCCCCCCGGGAGGTTTGCTGCTGCGAAGCACGCAAGAAACCCGGCTCGGCCCAAGCCGAGCCGAGCCGCGGCCCGGCGCTCCTTTCCTGCCTCCTCATTTTCAAGGGGGCGTCGCCGCTCAAGGCATAATGAGGCTCAGTGTTCGTGTGGAAGGGGCGTGCGCGCAGGCTCGTGTGGAAGCCCACTCTTACAGCTCCGTTGGAGGGGATTCCTGGGCTGCTGTGGTTCTGATCCAGGATGCGCACGCCGCCTTCAGATGCTTCCAAGGAGGCGTTCTCAAATGAGGACGTTTCAGGACTGGTTCAGCGCAAGTTCTTGTCATTCTCTTTTGACTTTGGGACGAGTCCCAGCAAAGCTAAGATGTTGGAAAAATCAATCTCCAAAGTTCATGGACAAAGAACATTTTTTTGCCGTTCTCAGTTTTAGCTCCTGCTAGTTTTATCGACGTAAAATGTCGCTTTCAGGTAATTCTCTCTTTAAAAGGAAAAAAAATGTTATTTTTATGGGGTTTTTTTTTCAAGTGTAGTTATTTTGTTCATTTTCGCCAAAGCATTAATGCAAGCTCCGACATCGGCCGTCGTCACGTGATCCGTGCAGGCAAGCTTGCCTCTGAAACTGAAGGCGGAGGGAAAAGCATCCTTGCGACCAAGTGACGGACGGAATTGTCCCGCTTTGTCGGCACAAAATGCCACGCTCTCTTGACGTTTCTTCGGAAAAGGCTTCCGCACCCCTCTTGCACACCGAGTTGGGAAATTTTTTTGTGTCGCCGCAAACACCAATAACAGTCTGGCGTCCAATGAGCACCGTTTTTATTTTATTTTATTGTTATTTTTGGAGGGGGTTGGGGGGGGGGTCTTTGTAAAGAAAAAAGTGCCATTGGAAGAGGCCCACCGGCCTCGCTTCTTAAAAGGCCGTCCCCCCTTTATTTGTCTGCCCTCACCAGGTCACAATGCGAGGAAGGAAGGGGCTTGATTCCACTCATGTTCTTGTCCCCCTGCACAAATATTGGCGATGATAAAGGCACGGCGGACGGGAGGCCGTGTGCCGCTCAGCCTTTCCCGAAATTTCGAGGTGTGGTCAAGGTCCGCGCTACTGCGGGTTTGTTGCTTTCCACCTTTTTACACAAGGACAAAGGCGCGCAAAGGGCTCCGTGCTCTTGGGGGTGGGGGGGGGGGATTCGCTCCTCAAATTTGCCCACTGAACAACTTGGAAACCGTCCTTGCGGGGACGTTGATGCAATGCTACGGATCACTCAACTCG